AACATATATGTAAATAGCTTTCAACTTTTGCCTCCTGTGTTGGTTTTCTATTGCTGCACAACAAATTACTACAAACGTAGCATCTTAAAACAACACACATTTATTATCTCAGTTTCTGTGGGTCAAGTGTCTGAGCACAGCTTGAGTGGGTTCTCTGCTTTGGGTCTCACAAGGCTACAATCATTTTGTTGGCTGAGGATGCTGTCTTATCCGAGACTTGACTTGAGCAGGATCTGCTTTTGTTGGTGGAATTCACCTCCCTCAGTTGTAAGACTGAAGTCTTCAGTTTCTTACTAGCTGTTGGCCAGAGGCCACCCTTCATTTCTTGATACATAGATCTTTCCATATGACAGCTCATAGTATGGCAGTTTGCTTCATCAAAGCTAGCAAGGAAGAGTGAGTCTCCTCACAAGATAAGTATTACGATTTCATATAACATCGAGGCCACCACATGGCAATTTGATTTCTCAAAGCTACAACAGAGAGACACCACCAAGATGGGCACTGCAATCTTACATAACATAGTGCTGTGCATCCCTTCTCTCATGGAGAAGAAATCACACAAAGAACACCGAGAAGCCAGAGGTCATAGAATTTACACTAAGAGTCTGTCTGTCATGCCCACTTACAGCAAACTAATGATTCTCATAATTTGAAATATGAGCTAGATTAGCTTTGTTCCCAGTTTCATTTGACTCTGACACTAAATTCCGTTTATTATTTGTTGATCCTGGAAAATGATCAGACCCTAAAATTCTAAAGAAAAATCAGAAAGGACAATTTTCAAGAAATTCCGGCTATGTCAAGAAGTATATTCATTTGATTTTTGCCTTTTCAGTGGGTACTGCCAGCTACCCTTGAGGAGACAGACACACATTTGCCTAAGCCATTATTTAATACAATTAGTACCAAATCACTATCCAAATTCTAGGCAAAGGGCTGGGAATTCTTGGCCCTACAAGCCCATAAAATAAAATATTTTTTAAAAAAAGTTCATGTTGGTACTTTCTTATTTGTCTGGTTTTAGTATAAATATCAGACTCGAAGCCAAGGAATCTATTTTGTAACTGAAAAGTATTCTTGCATATGAGGGTCAACAAAGGAAGTACCTTGGCTTCTCCAAGAGTTGTGTCAGAGTTAACAAAAGCAAAGTGTGGTGAAAATCCTCAGGATGATATTCTGAAGCTAGTCTGGGCTATTGCAAAGTTACAGTCCCAATACCTGACTTCCTTATCCTGTGTACGTGTCTGGGAAAACGATTCTCCCTCACTGCTGCTCACACTTCTGCACTGGCCTTTCCTGCTCCCTGAAAGCCCAGGGCTATTTGACAGGGTTCCCCAGAGGTCTAGTGACAAGAAGCTAAATGCCCTCTGCTTCAATTTGCATCTGTGTTTAACCTTTATACAGAGTGGTATTTATTTCATTTCTAACTCTCTTGCTCTACTATAGTTATCCATTACAATGAAATAAAATAAGCAAATTCTAGTGAGATTAAGAAGTTTCTGCTAAATTCTCAATTTTAAAATGACAGCCATAAAACTATGGTGTTAGAAGTCAGAATAGTGGTCACCAGTGGCTTTGCAATAACTAGAAGGAAGCAGGAGGGGTCTTTGGAGTGTGTTGGTCATGTTCTTTTTCTTGATCTAGATGCTCATTATATGGCTTTGTTCGGTTTGTGGAAAACTTTCAAGTTGTGTTCTTACAGTATGCCCAGTGATTATGTGAAATTTTTGAAATGGAGTTACGTTATTGCTTAGTTTTGTTGCTGAGAAATGAATTTGTCATGTTTTTGAGCTTGGAAATTTAGTTACAACTTGATTTAAGTTCCTATTTCATGCTAAACTTATTAAGTAGATTACAGTGTGGCTGAAACTGCTTCATTTTTAAATTTATTTTGAATTACTTTTCATTCTGCTTGGTGAATTAGATGCTATTAGGTTATTACAAAAATTTTAATACATACAGAAACACTGTCCCCAACTCACCATTGATCAAATATTTAATTTTTAAAATTTTCTAAGGTATTTTATGCTAATAATGATAAATATAAAACTAGGGGACTGAAATTGGTAAGGAGTGGGACCAAGAACACAGAGGAGGAAACCTTTTTAAAAGAGTAAGGCAGTGGGAAAAGAGGATAGGGGTATATACACTTGCCTCCTAAATTGGAGAAAAGTGAAGATTGCTCACAAATGATGGTATTGGTTTTTTCCAGGGAATGATGAAACAAGGTTCTGTACTAGGAATAGATGTTGGGGTGGGGCTGATAGTTCAAGGACAAGGGAAATAGTTAGGAAATAGCATTGATAAGGTAAACATGGCTGAAGGTCAAGGGAATTGAAAATACTAGTGAGAGTGCAGTTTAAAAAAAGTCGATAAAAGGGTTCCCACAATTTAGGGAGATAAGCAAAGGTAGGAAATAACTGATAAACTTTGAGAACAAAGACTAAAGGTCACGCTGAGGGCAAACCGTAGACTCAATGGGAAAGAGTGAGTAAAAGAGATAACAAGAGTAGGTAGCTGTGGGTAGAGAGAAACTTAACAATTGAAAATTTTGCAGGTGGAGTGATTTCGTCTGATGACTGGATTCAGGGAGTAACTACATCTGTGGGTTTCTAATAGAGATGAAGTTGAAGATGATTGGAAAAGAGAAAGATGAGAAACCATGAGGTCAGGGTTCTAACTGAGTCATTATCATGGATGCTGAAATCATTAGGCTGGGGCAGGACATGCAGATCGTTCCAAGGCTGACACAGAGTTTCAGAAAAACAACTGGGCACAGGCAAGGAAGTAAATGGCTATCTTGGTCATGGCCAACCGTATGCAGATAGCAAGCAGGCAATATTGGTCTTCGGCATAGATTATCTTTATTATGTAGCATTTTTTTCCTGGCTTTGTTCACCTACTCTGAGTAACCTCATTGTCCTCCATGTTGCTCTCTCACCCTATGCTTTTGATATATGTGAAATCCCAAATGACCCTAAGGCATACATGGCAAGTTCTTGATTATATCAATCACTTTTCCCACTTACTGTTGCATCTCGACAAGGTTTTCTCATGACAAATCCTTAACTGAAAAGTGGTCACTTTAGGGCCAATACCCTAAAGAGGTGTCTGCAAAGTCATGCAATTCCAGCCCAGGGGGAAGGGCTCTTTCTCTTCTGAAAAATCTTTCTTCAGTATTGATTCATTTTTTTAGCCCAGGACTTTAACCATCCCCACAAAATGTGAGTTTCTTAGAGGTTAGAACTGGGTTAAGCCAATAAAGAGATACCCATGAAAGGACTGACTCAGTCTTTTGCTCTCTTGACCAGTGTGCAAGGCAGACTAGTGTGCTGTGAGATATTGATTCCCTCCATCTTTATTCCCTGTACCAGTAAAATACCATCATTTTCAATATATGCTTTGATGCAAAAGGTTTGGGAAGCCCTGACATAGCAGACATTCAATAGCAGCTGACATTTATTGAGCACCTACTACATACCAAGCACCTCATATATTTTAACTCATTTAACCTTTGTAGCAATCCCATTAGGTTGATACCATTATTCTCATTTGGCAGATAAAGAAACTGAGATGACCTGCCCACCATCACAGACATAGAAGTGGCAGCACCAGGATGCAAAATCAGGCAATTTGCAACCAGAAAAGTACACTTAGCCACTATACATTGCCTCTAAATAAATGTTTGCTAGATCTAAATAAAAATTTTAATTTAAATTTTATACGTTTGTTTTAAACATCCCTATAAATGGCAGAACTAGAATACAATCCAGCCACACTCTGTAGGTTGGCTGTAGCATGACAGGGAGCAGCAAGAGCTGAACATAGTGGAGCTTTGTCTCTCTTACATCCCCAGGTTTGCTTGGAACTCCCTTAGCACTAGAGCTGCTTTTCCGTGTCTTTTCAGAATTATCTGATCAACAAGAGATCATAATTTGTTCTGTGTATTCCTCTGTCTGAATCCTCAATATAATGAAAAACTTTGTAATTTCACACACACACACACACACACCCGCCACACACACAAACACACACACACACACCCGCCATTCTTCCAGACACACACACACACACACACAACCGCCCCCGGCCCCCCGCCATTCTTCCAAAGCCCTGGCTTCTTAGAAGTGTCTCATCGTGCTTTTGGGGGGAATAAAGAAATCAAAGCCTGAAGGTCCATGAAATCACAGCCTGAAGGTCCATTTCCAGGCGGGGGAAGAGTATAATGGAATTAGTTTTTGCTAGGTATTTAAATCACAGACTGGGAGTACAAACCGCAAAGAACTAGCTTCTTGGCGTGTCACACCAGCTCTGGGTTCACTGATCAATCACAGCCAAACTCATTTAGCAACTTAAAAATATGTATCGTGGCAAGGTTCATTTATGTAAGACTTGGACCGAGGCCGCCGCCACCACGATCTGCGGTAATCTCGTGTGGAGTCACGACCATCTAGTCCTTCACTTTCCCTGAGAAACTCCCACGCCTCCCCTGTCCCCAAGGGAGCCCGGCGGTCCCTCGCGGCTCTGAGTCCCTCGGGGAAGGACGCGAAGGAAGGCCGCGGGACCGCAACGAGAAGGGAGAGCGGCAGGCGTACAAAGCACCCGGGCTGCAATTCACGACCCTGTTACTCCACGAAAAAATGGAACATTCCGCTCCTTCCGCCCGCAGAGGGGAGGTGGGGGGAACCCTTCGATCTGGTCTAGGAAAAGCGACGCTGGCGCAGCCGCCGGAATCCCGGACGCCAGGATCCGCGTTACGGGAATCGTAGCTGCCTGGAGTCCCGCCCCCTCGCCTCCGGCTACCGCCCGGCCAATACCCTGGCGCACCGGGTCTCTCTGGAGCCAATCAGCATAGACTCCCTACGTCCGGAGGCGGGGCGCGGCGAGGGCGCTGCGGGGCGGGGTCGGGGGGCGCAACGCCCCGCCGTGGGAGGAGGGCCGCGTGCCGCGTCTGCGGGAAGGAACGCGGAGCGAGCCGGAGCAGAAGCGGGGAGCCGACAGGCCCGCGGAGCGGCGCGGGGAACGCTCGGGCGCAGCTGAGCCGGAGGCCGCGGCTGTGCGGCCGACGGGCCCGGCCCGGCCTGGCGCGGAGGGAGTCGTGCGCTATACAGACGCGGATGAGAGAGGCGCCGCGGCTTGAGGTGAGGAGGTGCCGTGGCCGAGTGAAGGGCCGTGTAGCGGGAGGGTGAGGGCTAGGTCGGGGAGTTCGGGCCTGGAGACCTGGCACTCGAGGGGGCCACCCTTCCCCGGGAGAGAGGCGCCCTGATACCGTGTCCGTCCCAAACTTGTTAGTTCCAGCCTGGAAATCCCCACATTCCTCCTTCCTTTCCGTGTTCACACGCCTCTGAATTTGATTTCTTCAACTTTGTCGCGTATATTTCTCAAACGTAAGCGCAGACCTTATCTTCAGCACACACACACACACACACATCCACCCACACACCCTTCTTAGGCCCACGCCCCCAAATCCCCACTTTTTGCCCTTTTCCATCTTCCCTTAATTTCTACTAGCCCCGCACTTGACTCTTCATTTTCTACCCGGAGATTAGTATCTCTTCACCAAAGCCATCTTTTCATCCTGAAGTTGTAATGTTTCACAGGGTTGAAAGTTCACCTTAATTAAAACATTTTAAACTAACGTCTTTTTTCTTCTTTTTACCTCTTACGTGTACCCGTCCTAACGAATCCCACATAACACTGTATCTGAGAAGCACCGAATCCATCTTTAAAAGTTCACCCCTCCCCCAAGCTTAAAGGTTATTCCAAGCGGCAAGGTTCTGTTTTTCAGTAGATGAACAGCAATTTATTCATAACTCCAACTGAAAAAATATCACAGGTTAGAACTAAGACTTGCCACTTTTGTTTTTTGGGTTTTTCCTCCCTTAAGAAGAACACTCATTTCGGTTTAATTTGTGTAGTATTGGCATTTTCAACAGTTACACTGCTTTAAAAATAATTAGTGATTAGAATGCCAGGATGACTCTTATAAAAGATTGGAGCCTTTGGTTAAGTCAGTGCTGTAAACAAACCCTTTAGACTGTGTGACTGCCAGCTTCAAGTTGGAACAACTCTTAATTTGAAATTCCTGACTCAGATCATCATATGAGCTAGCTGTTCGCCATTATCTTAATTTCTTAAATTCATGATAATTCCCACTTGGAAGTATTTTTGAACTGTAAATGGAATTCTACGTTTATAGGACCAACTTGATATTAAGTTAAATCATGTTTTCCAGCTATTTGTTTTGGGAGATTATTTTGAACACTTGTTTTTAATCACTTGGAAGAAAAAAATTACAGGATGGAGAAAGTGTGAGAAAAGGAGAATAAGTTTTGTAGTGGAATTTTCCCTCAAGTCTGTATAATTGACAATGCTATACATGTTTAATTTTCTCATAGGTAATTTAGAATATTATAAATACTGCTGCCAGCTAAGTTAATATATTTTCTTAGTAATGAAAACCGTGCACAGTGTTCTCATTTTTATTTATGAGTTGCAGTATTTTCAGTTTATTTAAAAATTTTCCCAAGGGAATTTGCACTGCAGTTAAATGTTAGGGTGAATGTCGACTATTATATACCTATGAAGTAAAATGTTGTGATATCCTTTATAGAGAAGGAAACTGAGGGTTAGGGTCGCTGTGAAACCTAGATCTGTGTAATTCCAAATCCTGTACTCTCAGTTGGTCATTTTATCATGCTGACACATTTCTCCTAAAGGATCCACTACTACAGTTTGGTTTGGGAACTTGCCTACTCCCCATAACTGATCTGCAAGGAAGGTTTTTCCCCCCACAGAAGTGAGAGCTTCTCATTTTAACAGGAGTCAAGACTCCCTGGCCCTGATACATTAGCAGCCTGGCTCCCAGAGAAGCGTGGAATGTTCTCAACAGTCTTCTCTATTTCTTTGATTGTGCAAAGGTCGCATGATCAGAGTTGAAGTTTCTACTCTTAATTATTTTACACAACAAATACTAAACACTTACTGCTGGCTATAGGAATTCACAAAGATGCATGAGGTATTCTTAGGACCTTTATAGAGTTTACAGAAATTGGGCTGACAGATGTATGAAAAATTGTGAGGATGCAAGGCAGTTTCAATTAAATGTAGAATGATAGGGAAACTGTTATATTTAAATTAGGGAGTGATTATTTAACGGTTGGAATGATCAAAGGATTGAGCAGAGGTCAGACTTGAAACCTTTATGAGATTTGGATAAAGAGAAAAATGAAGGAAACCCATTCCAAATAAAGATCTATGTAGATGGGCGCCTGGGTGGCTCAGTTGGTTAAGCGACTGCCTTCGGCTCAGGTCATGATCCTGGAGTCCTGGGATCGAGTCCCGCAT